AGAGGAAGCGGCCACCAGGAAGGGGATACAGCACCTCCAGACAGGGGAGCAGAGTGTCTGGATCCCGGGAATGGCCTCGATGCAGAGCGGACACGGACACAAGGACAGCAAGGGTAGGAAGCAGCCCAGTGCAGGGTGTAATTGGAACGCCCTTGGGTTAGCGGGTGCTATTCCCCCACTAACCTGTGCAGGGGGCCGTTCCTGTGCTTTAGGGCCCTGGGCAGGCCTGGGTCCCCCTACCCCACCATTTCACTTGGGATCATAGCCAAGGAAACTCTGGGGAAGGAAGAGGCTTGCCTGAAGACCCATGGGGGGTCTAAGCAGTTATGGACTCAGAGAAAGACTTAGGATGTGATGAACGTTTGTCTATCTAACGGGTATGAGTACTGTTTAGAGAGGGGGGGGCACTAAAGAGGAACACAGGTACCTCCAAAGGACCTCTACATGGAGCGTACCCCATTACAGTAACCCTAGTTTCCCCGACTCCCCACCTGTGCAGATGCCTCTCAGGATCACCATTTCTTTGGAAGGCTGGAGATCTGGGACCCATGGCTCTTCCCCTTGTTCCAGCTGGGCAATCAGGTCAGGTTTGGGAATGGAGAATCCTGCATGGGGTGAAATCAGGAAAGTTGAAGGCACATGGAATCTGGGCAGATAATGTATCAGAAGAAAACTCACTGAGCACAATCTGATCCTACATGGGACTGGGGTAATTCAGACATCTTAAGAGCAGTAGACTTTTGGGGAAAAATGAGGGTGGGAGATGTGGCGAAGTCAGGATTGTGTTCTCTCTGTTCACTTTTTTATGGTGTATCTGATTTCTACTGCCCTGTAGCAACCCCATGCATGTGCCTCAGTTTACCTGAACACTGTACTACTATCTAGATAGGGATAGTAGTTTGGCTGTGACTCACTGGGGGAGGATGCCCAGGCCAGCATGTTCAGAAGGACGCATGCTCATAATAATCTGAGTCTGGGAGGGGTATGTGATCAGGTGACACCCTTTGCTCAGGAAGCTGGACAAAGATTTGAGATGGAGCTGGCTGAAGCCAGGGATGAGCTGTGGAAAGTGGAAATGTGTCTTGCTGGCAGAGATGGGGGCAGGGCCCTTGGCTCTGGGACCTTCTCCCAAGATGGACTGTACTGATTGCTCCTGGTCCCTGTGCTAACAAGTCTGTTCTACGCTGTAACCCTGTGAACTAATAAAACTTCTGTTCTACCTGCCAGCTGAGAGACACGTCTGGCTGTGGATAGGAGTGCAGGCCCAGTGACTCCCCACTCCTCGATGACAGAGGGTGTTGTCATGCCCTCACTAGAAATTTTAATGATCTGTGGGTTCTGAGGGACTTGCTGACACACACACACATCTCTGGGGTTGAAGTCTAGGCTATTTCCCAGCCTGTGGAACCTAGAGCCCGCCCCACAGGTGGAGCCAGTCCCAAGAAGACAGGTGAATGGTGTATGTAGGAGAAATAATTTTGGTAGGACAGTACCGCAGGTCTGGCCCTTGAAAGCTAGGTAGATGGGGATGAACTAGCCTGTCCCTTATGTGTCTGACTTCCCTGTTCCAGAAGGGGGCATGATGATGAAAATGTCTCTCACATAGGGGCTGTGGGCCCCACTTCCCTCTAAGCAAACTGACCAGGAAAGAACCTGACCTGATGCTGAAATGCTGGCCCCAGGGCTTTGCTAGCTGAGGGCACAGGAATTCTTACCCAGTGAGGCCACAGTCTCATAGTTCTCCTGCATGACGTCCCTGTAGAGGGCTCTCTGAGCGGGATCCAGAAGAGCCCCCTGCCCTGGAGTGAAATACACAGCCACCTCCTCGAAGGTCACCGGCATCTGAAACAACAGGAGCCCCCCACTTAGCTCCTGCCACCCCAGCTACAGCCCCACTAGTCACAATGAAAGAGGCCCGAGGAGCAGAATCCCACCCCACCCTGGCCAGAGATGCCAGGAGGGCCCAGGGAAGAGAGACGGGTGAGCTCCTTGTGCCTCCCAGCAGATGCAGCAGGGCAGGGTCTTCTCAGTCACCCACTTACCAGCCACAGGCTGAGGTGGGAGCAGAGCTCTGCACAGGTGATAGGGACAGGAATCCCAGCAGCTTCCTAATTCATGGCAGCCTCTGGCTAGTGAGCTCTGTCTCCAGCAGGAGAAAACAACAACAGGAACAGCCAATGCAGGCAACCCAAAGGGTACGTCTACACTAGCCCCCTAGATCGATCTAGGGAGTCTAATGAGGGTGACCGAAATTGTAAATGAAGTGTGGGATTTAAGTAACTTCCCGTGTCTATACGTGGCAGTGAAACGGGATTCTGAAATAAAACCCTAACTCGAATTAGCTGATATTTCTCCTGCAATGAGGTTTACCAGCTAATTCGAGTTAGGGCTTTATTTTGGAATCCCATTTCACTGCTGCATGTAGATGTGGGTAGTTACTTCCGGCTAGTCAATTTCTAAAATGGCGTCCGGCTAGGAACATGCAAATCAAACGCGGGATATTTAAATCCCGCGCTTCATTTTCAATTTCGGTTGCCCTCATTAGCCTCCCTAGATCAATTTAGGGGGCTAGTGTAGACATACCCAGAGGAAATGAACAGAACAGGGAATCCTGAAGTGATCCACCCCCTGTTGCCGATTCCCAGCTTCTGGCAAACAGAGGCTCAGGACATCCTTCCTGCCCATTCTGGCTAGTAGCCACTGATGGACCAGTGGAGACTCTGGTCAGTTTCCCAGCCCACCCGTGGAGTGTTTCCTCTTTCAGAAAACGGAAAATGTTCACCCTGCCCCCCAAACAGGCCTGTTCAGACAATCAGGCCCTAGGTTGAGTAAGACCAGCATGTTTATCCCACCCTGCCCCACCCTGTGTATTTCCTGCCCCTCTCCCACTGCAATAACCCCCCTACAGCTTCCCACAAAATCCCCTACCTGAACTTCCTCCACCACAGCACTGCAAGATGAGACGATCTGGAGCACAGTGTGGATGTGATTCATCAGCCTGTCAGAGTGAGAGGGCTGATTGGGGAGGTTTTCAAAGTGGGTTTGTTCCATTTCACACCCCAGTCTCCCCCAGCTTCTCTCTGCAGACTGATGTTCTAGGCCAGGGGTGGGCAATAATTTTTGAATGAGGGGCACTTCAATTTTTTTTGAAGCGATTATAGGCCAACCCAGAAGGGTGGAGCCATGGACAGAAGGGGCAGGTCTTTAAATAGCAGGAGTTGAAAGGGCTCGCGCCTCCCCTGTGGCTCCCAGGCATTACATTAACAGCTGCGAACCCTTTCAATTCCTGCTATTTAAAGAGCTTGCTGCTCCAGCCCTTGCTGCTAGTGTGTTGCCTGGGAAACTGGGATGCTAGAGCCCTTTCAACTGCTTCTATTTAAAAGGCTCACACCAATAGTGTGGGGAAAAGTAAATAGCTTTTCCTTAGTCACTTTTTCCACACCAGTCATGATTTTATAGACCTCTATCATATTCCCCCCTTAGTCTCTTTTCTAAGATGAAAAGTCCAAGTCTTTTTAATCTCTCTTCATTAGGAAGCCATTCCAAACTCCTAATCATTTTTCTCGCCCTTTTCTGAACCTTTTCAAATGCCAATATATCTTTTTTGAGATAAAGCGATCACATCTGTATGCAGAATTAAAGATGTGCATGCACTGTGGCTTTATATAGAGGCAATAAGATATTCTCTGTCTTATTCTCAATCCCTTTTAAAATGATTACTAACATTCTATTTGCTTTTTTGACTGTCACTGCACATTGAGTGGATGTTTTCAGAGAACTATCCACAATGACTCCAAGATCTCTCTCTTGCGTAGTTATAGCTAGATTAGTCCCCATCATATTGCATGTATAGTTGGGATTATTTTTTCCAATGTGCATTACTTTACATTTATCAACATTAAATTTCATTTGCCATTTTGTTGCCCAATCAGTTAGGGTATGTCTACACTACAAAGTTAGTTTGAACTAATGGACGTTAGTTCGAACTAACTTTCCTAGGCGCTACACTAGCGCTCCGTTAGTTCGAACTTAATTCGAACTAACGGAGCGCTTAGTTCGAACTAGGTAAACCTCATTTTACGAGGACTAACGCCTAGTTCGAACTAGCTAGTTCGAACTAGGCGTTAGTCCTCGTAAAATGAGGTTTACCTAGTTCGAACTAAGCGCTCCGCTAGTTCGATTCAAATTCGAACTAGCGGAGCGCTAGTGTAGCACCTATTAAAGTTAGTGCGAACTAACGTCCGTTAGTTCGAACTAACTTTCTAGTGTAGACATACCCAGAGAGAGGCTAAGGCTTCCCAGGTTTCCCTGGTGGCCACTCTGGCCAACACCAGGGAAACTCTATTGCCCCCCTCCCGGCCCCGGAGCCCTTAAAGGGCCACGGGCTGGCTACTCACTTTGTGCCAGTTGCAAGGCTGCAAGCAC